CTACTACGAAGCCATGCTGTTCTAATAGCTGCAGTATGTGGTTTTCCATTGTCCTGCTGAAATACACAAGGCCTTCCCTGGAATAGATGTCATCTGGAGGGGAGCATATATTGCTCTAAAACCTTTATATACCTTTCAGCATTCATGGCGCTTTTTAAAACATGCAAGTGTCCCACACCATATGCACTAATGCATCCCCATACCATCAGAGATGCTGGCTTTTGAACTGAATGCTGATAACAGGAGGGGTGGTCTTTCTCCTCTTTAGCCCAGAGGACACAACGCCCAGGATTTCCAACAAGAATGTCAAATTTGGACTCATCTGACCACAGGACACTTTGCCACTTGCAACAGTCCATTTTAAATGAGCCTTGGCCCACTGCGGCGCTTCTGGATCATGCTCAACAAGGGCTTCCTTTTTGCATGATGGAGCTTTAGGTGGCATCGTGGATGGCACGGCGGACTGTGTTTACAGACAGTGGTTTCTTGAAGTATTCCTGGGCCCATTTAGTAATGTAAATGACAGAATCATGCCGGTGAGTGATGCAGTGGCATCTGAAGGCCCGAAGATCACGAGCATCCAGTAAAGGTTTTCAGCCTTGTCCCTTACGCATAGAGATTTTTCCAGTTTCTCTGAATCTTTTGATGATGTTATGCACTGTTGATGATGAGACCTTCAAAGCCTTTGCAATTTGACGTTGAGGAACATTGTTTTTAAAGTATTCCACAATTTTTTTACGCAAGCCTTCACAGGTTGGAGAGCCTCTGGCCATCTTTACTTCTGAGAAACTTGGCCTCTCTAAGACATCCCTTTTAAAGCCAATCATGTTTCACACCTGATGCCAGTTAACTTAATTACATACTAAATGTTCTTTCAGCTGATTCTCTTATATATTAATTGCTTTTTCAGCCCTTTTTTGCCTGTGTCCCAACTTTTTTGAGAACTGTTGCAGCTATAAAATTTGAAATAAGCTCATTTTGTGGATAAAAATGTAAAATGTCTCAGTTTCAACATTTGAAATGTTATCTATGTTCTATTGTAAATAGCATATTGGCTCATATGATCTAAAAGTCATTGCATTTTGGTTTTATTCACAATTTACACTTCGTCCCAACTATTTCGGAATTGGGGTTGTATGTCAGAAGTCGTCTGAATGTCTGTTCTGGTGAAGGCTTGGTACAACTGAAATGTCAACTTAATTTAGAGATTTAATAACACTTAGATAACACTTTTGTGTTATTATTTTGATAATTATGAGTCTTTCTTTGAAATGTTGGAACACTGCATTAAGTGTTCAATCTGTATTCTTTCTATTGAGTACATCTTTCCACTTTCATTATTCCCCTTTTCTCCATTGTGAAGGAGCAGCACTGCAACACCCCAAAATGCCCTGAGAGCGAGTCACTCACTGTCAGACCCCCAGGATTTTGACATGGCCCCACTAAGCGAGACCGCAGTCTGGTTGTAGGCCTTGCTGTGTGGGGACTGCGTGGGCACTTCTGGTGGTTAACGAGGCATTAGGGAGCAATGTGTAATTGAACCATATCTCTTGGTCTGGACAGACACCAGAGCTACTCTATTCCACCACAGTGCTGATCATGAGGAGAATCCTGGCATGGTTGTGAGTACCTACAATGCTCATGTCTTCATTTTCATGCACAATTAAAAGGTCTCCAGGGTCAAATTCCACATTCAAGCCCCTATTGTGCTGTGTGGGAATGAGAAGCAGCATGGTAAAAACTCAAATATGAGTTTTTTTGGCCCATGATCATCTTGAGGTCACCAACAAGATAGCCAACTGACAAACATGCTGATCTCCATAATGGCCCATTGTTTATGACAGTGAGGAAGGGTAGAGGTGATGGATTTTTTGCGATGTGCATGTGGTTTTTTGAGCACTTAAACTAAGCGCCCAAGAGCCAGCGGTTTATTGTCATCATCAGACTGTGCTGATGCTTTGCAGCAAAGCCATGGATCTGCAAACTAAATGGATAATAATTATGTTTGTGATGAGTTATAGTGCTTAGTGCTATTTACAAAGAAATAAAAATACGCATTTACCTTAACAGAAAAACCACTGTAATGTTCATTTCTCCCAAAGTCAACTCAGAGAGACAAACAATACATGCAATGTGCTCCTGGGTAAAACCTGATTTTACACTCAAAGAATTCTGGCTGTAGCTGCATTGACTTTCTATTGATGAGTAATAAATCCCAGCAACAAGATTTAATGACCTCAGGTGTGCTTCTTGTGCCCTGCAATGCAACACACGAAAGATGAAATACTATATCATTCACATAATCCTAAAGTATTTCATTAGTCGAATTTCAATTTGTAATTTTATGAAATTTTTCCTCTGTAATTTTTTTAATTGCGCGTCATAGCTGAGGACAGTGCTGCAGTGCTCTTACATTCATTTAAGACTAAGCACATGCAGAAAAAGGAAGTAACTGGTCATGTCATGTAACATTATATATATATATATATATATATATATTTTTTTTTTTTTTACAATATGGGAACAAATTTGACCTACAAACTTTAGGAACAAAGACTCAAAAATGCAGTCCCTCAGTATTTGAGCTTCGGTGCCCCTCCCATCTACTGAAAGAGTAGAAAAAAGATTTTAAAGCATGTAACTACTCCCTATTATAGTAGTTGTTGACTACAACACACTCTGTCGAATCATTCAGTCAAATTGTACAGTGGTGCGCAGTGATGATTGTACACAAAATGTAGATCAGAAAACAAGTACTATAGATGAAAATAAGTGAGCAGATAATAATAAATAGTAAAAAACAAAACAAAAGTCTTTTTGAGTGCAAACGTCAATATTTAGTATGGCCATCCTTTGCTTTGATTACAGCATTTAATCTTTCAGGCATAGTTTTGGTTTGAAGTTCATTCCAAAGAGATTCTTTCAATGTTACAGCAAATTTGCTCTGATTAAAGTCTGGACTTTGAGCAGGCCAAGCCATAACTTTTATGATGTTTCTTTCCGACAGAGATAATTCTTGCACAACTTAGAAGTGTGTGTAAGGTCATTATCGTGTTGAAAATAAAATCCCTGACCAATCAGTCTTTTTCCAGATGGCATGTCCAGGGGAATGTAAATATGCCACTAAAACTCACGCCAGATGCATGAGAGTTGACAGGTGTGCACGTTATTATTGAAAACTGACCACACCTGAAAATGTTGAAAGTCTTCGGAGTTTCTGTCATGGTAATTTAATTGACTGATTAAAAACAGGTCAAGAATTAGGCTAATCGTGCTCATTTTAACTTAACAAGGAGAATTGCCCACACCTGATGGTCCTTAGGAGTTTTGGAGAGTAAAGTCAATTGTATTACAATTGAAAACAGGCCATGACCAATCATTATTTTTAAGGGAAGATTTGTGCTTCCCCTATTGCCAGTTCACCAGCCGCCACTGCAACAATCTCAGAGAGCTCCTTCCATCGTGCCATTGTGTTTAACACTGTGACACTGCTCAAAGTTCATGTCACCGCCTATACTGGAACAACTGACCGTCAGAAGTAATTTAGCAGAATCGTGCCATCTCAGACCAGTTCAAACTAATTTTTTTAGCATCAATTATCATGGAATGAGCCCCCAAATGTGCATTCAGACTATACAAGAGTAAAAAAAATTGCAACACCTTTCAATTGTAATAAAAAATGTTGTTTTTAGTGTTTTTGCTTATTACCCATATTTTTACCTCAGTATACTTGTGGGAATGATTTTTTTTGTTTTCATTGCCTACAATAGTATTTTTCAATACATTTTCACCAAATATTCTAGAAAAGTAATATATTAGGACCCCTTTTAGACAAAAGTGATACACTACTGTACACCTGAATGATTATTACTTGTACAAACTACCCGTATGGACCCAAGCAATTGCAGTTTTATTGTTATAATTCACACATCATCCTCGCTCTCTGAAGATGTTCTTTATGCCTCCGCAAAGGGCCATATCAAATGGTATCAACAGAAGGCATAGGCCCTTCTGCCAAACCAAAGCAGGCCACCCAAAGGAAAGGAAATATGTTTAAAATATATTTAGTTTGGCCACGATGCATTTAAAATACATTTAGAATGCTTGGGATCTCTAGAATACATTTTGAGGATGCATTTTAAGCCATGGAACACTGTATTTTTGCCTTTTTCACGCAGTTGTTCACAAAGTGGTGAACCTCGCCCCATCCTTGCTTGTGAACGACTGAGCCTTTCGGGGATGCTCCTTTTATACCTAATCATGACACTCACCTGTTTCCAATTAACCTGTTTACCTGTGGAATGTTCCAAGCAGATGTTTTTTGAGCATTCCTCAACTTTTCCTGTCTTTTGTTGCCCCTGCCCCAGCTTTTCTGGAACTTGTCGCAGGCATCAAATTCAAAATGAGAGAATATTTCCAAAACACAATAAAGTTTATCAGTTTGAACATTAAATATCTTGTCTTTGTAGTGTACTCAATTGAATATAGGTCGAAAAGGATTTGCAAATCATTGTATTCTGTTTTTATTCACATTTTACACAACGTCCCAACTTCATTTGAATTAGGGTTTGTAGTAGGCTATATGTTTACACGAATGCACTTCAACTTCAATCCAGCCAGAGAACATGGTTAGATTTGACAAATAAATTAAGACAACATTGAATGTTTCATTGCAGTTTATTTAGCACTTCAAGAAATGCGTACTGATAGGTCAGTGCATAATACCACTGACATAGATGCAACAGCATAAAATAATGCAAACACTTGAGTAAAATATGATATGAATATTAATTGCTAAATGCAACAGCTAATTTTGATTTATCATTCTTCAAACGGCCTACCAGACTAAGACCCTAGCTCAGTACACTTCTGCCTTCATAGAGATTAAGATTTATGCTAGGCTTATATGTCACGCTACTGACCCTTAACAGTTTCTTTTACAAACTCTGTAAGTATGGTATAAGTGTCAGACGATAGTATTGAGACTCTGCAAACTATTTGGCGACATGGCTCAAGAGGTACAGCAGCTGATCTATGAAGCAGTAGTTTCCTGGTTCGATCCCTGGCTCCTCCACAGAATATGTCAAAGTGTCCTTGAGCAAGATACTGAACCCCAAACTGCTCCTGATGTGCAGATTGATGCCTTGCATGGCAGCCTCTGCAATCGGGCTGAATATGAGGCATAATTGTAAAGCGCTTTGTGTCATGTGACTAGAAATGCTCTATATAAATGCATTCAATTTTCCATTTAGGCTATCTTAAATATATTTGAAATGCATTTCAAAATGCATTTTGAAATATATTCTAAAAATATCTCAAATATATTTTCATCCCTATGGGAAAATATATTAGACATGTATTTCAATTGTATTGATAATATTCTTAAAATGTATTTAGTGAAATATATGAAGTGGCCATTGTTTGCACAATTGAAATGCATTTTGAAATGTATATTCTAAATGTATCTCAACTGCATTTTCTTTCCATATGGGCAATGCAATGCCTGCAGGAAAGAGATAAGGCTGGCGTCTGTATTTGGTATGATGTTTGTCAAGCTGAAAATTACTCTTCTTTGTAAGAAAGGATGAATATAACATATTGTCTAAGAATCCCATTCATTTGAGACAGGACTACATGAAAGGGGGTTGGTGGTGGTTGGGGCCACATCTTAATTGTACACAATGCCACAACTGCCCAGATAAAAAATGACAACTCACTTCCACTGAAAGAGTTCATACAATATAACTTGTCAGAGGTTAAAAAGCCTCTGCTTTGTTTCAATTCATAAAAAATGTAATCTATGTGAATGTGCTCTGCATAATAACATGTAATTTTTCGCAAACCACTAACAAATACACGTGAAGTAATGAGATCATTGGTGCAGATTACCTAAATGTTAACAAATTATGGGGTGCACAGTGAGGTTTAATTACATTTACAGCACCTTTAAAGGCAATCATGCCATTTTACTTCTAACGCTGGTATGACTTAGATATTCGGCAGAAATGAATATCTATATCTACACATGTTTAAAAAAACTATAAAAACATATGGTTACCGTGATAACCTGGGAGTAACAGTGCTGTCATCTCGTGGCCACCCTGAAATTGGCATATAATAAATAAGCCACAAAGAATTTGCCTTATTTTGGATTCACCATAGGGAACAATTTACAGGCACCAAGGTAATGTAACAAACATATTTTTATGAAAATTAAGTTTAATGGGCAGAAATATACAGAGCTCTGAAAAAGTATTGGCCCCCTTCCTGATTTCTTTTTTTTTATGCATATTTGTCACACTTTAATGTTTCAGATCATCAAACAAATTTTAATATTCTACAAAGATAGCCCGAGTTAATAAAAAATGCAGTTTTTAAATTATGATTTCATTTATTGAGGGAAAAAAGCTATCCAAACCTACCTGGCCCTCTGTGAAAAAGTAATTGCCCCCTAAACCTAATAACTGGTTGTGCCACCCTCGGCGACAACTGCAATCAAGTGTTTGCGATAACTGGCAATGAGTCTTTCACATGGCTGTGGAGGAATTTTGGCCCGCTCCTCTTTGCAGAATTGTTTTAATTCAGTCACATTGGAGGATTTTTGAGCATGAACGGCCTGTTTAAGGTCAAGTCCAGACTTTGACTAGGGCACTCTAAAACCTTCATTTTGTTTTTTTTAAGCCATTCATAGGTGGACTCGCTGGTGCGTTTTGGATCATTGTCTGGCTGCATAATCCAAATACGCTTGAGCTTGAGGTCATGATGGTCGGACATTCTCCTTCAGGATTTTCTGGTAGAGAGCGGAATTCATGGTTTCATCAATTACAGCAAGTCGTCCAGGTCCTGAAGCAGCAATGCAGCCCCAGACCATCACACTACCACCATCATGTTTGACTGTTGGTATGATGTTCTTTTTATTAAATGCTATGTTAGTTTTACGCCAGATGTAATGGGACACACACCTTCTTAAAAGATCAAATTTTGTCTCGACAGTCCACAGAATATTTTCCCAAAAGTCTTGGGGATCATCAAGATGTTTTTTGGCAAATGTGAGATGAGCCTTTGTGTTCTATTTGGTCAGCAGTGGTTTTTGCCTTAGAACTCCCCCATGGATTCCATTTTTGCTTAGTCTCTTTCTTATTGTTGAGTCATGAACGCTGACTTTAACTGTGGCAAGTGAGGCCTGCAGTTCTTTAGATGTTGTTCTGGGTTCTTTTGTGACCTCCTGGATGAGTCGTCGATGCGCTCTTGGAGTAATTTTAGCAGGCCGGCCACCCCAGGGAAGGTTCACCACTGTTCCAAGTTTTCTCCATTTGTGGATAATGGCTCTCACCGTGGTTTGCTGGAGTCCTAAAGCCTTAGGAATGGCTTTGTTACCCTTTCCAGACTGATAGATGTCAATGACTTTGTTTCTCATCTGTTCTTGAATTTCTTTAGATTGCGGCATGATGTGTTGCTTTTTGAGATCTTTTAGCCTACTTCACTTCATCAGACAGGTTCTATTTAAGTGATTTCTTGATTCAACTTGCAGTAATCAGGCCTGGGTGTGGCTAGTGAAATCAAACACAAAAAATGTGGCTAATCACAGTTAATTCATGATCTAACGGGGGGGGGGGGGGGCAATTACTTTTTCACATAGGGGCAGGTATGTCTGAATAGCTTTTTTCCCTTAATAAGTGAAATCATCATTTAAAACTGCATTTTGTATTTACTGGATTATCTTTATATAATATAAAAATTTTTTGATGATCTGAAACATTTAAGTGTGACAAATATGCAAAAAAATAAGAAATCAGGAAGGGGGCATATACTTTTTTCAGAGCACTATATGAGAGAAGAGGCCTTCACTTGCTTTTAAAAAAGAAAATAATTTTGAATAACATTCCAAATTTTCAAAGGGATTGCCTTTATGCTGATGGTAGATTAGTTCTGCACAGTTTCAGCCTCCTCAAAGAAAAAAAAACCTGATTAGATTAATTGGGGAGTTGTTTTCTTATCTGGTCAACACAGACCCCTGTGACTGAACTGGGTAACTGAACATGGAGAGTAACAAAACACATCTGAAAGAGCATGGTGCAGACACACACAAAAAAAAGCACGGTCTTACCCCGCCCCCCCATCTCATGAGCAACCCCGATCACACTTATTCACCTGCTTCAATGCAGCTGTTATTGTGTTGCACTGAACTGTCATTATCACACTGCAGCCAGTAAGCATCTCTGCAAAGCATGACCTCTCCATCACTGACTCTGCAGGACTTACATTTCATCAGGCTTTCACTCATTATGCTGCCCAGGAATTTCTTTACTGCCATTTTGTTTCCTAGGCCTAATGAAGGGAACTGTATTTTACTGAACATAGTCTTGGACATGTCAAGGCTTCAGAAAATATCAGATGCATCCAAAACTGATTTTGTGTTCTATTACTGGGATATAGGGGAAAGTGGTACAAAACGGCCACCACAGGTCATATGGCCCACCCTTGAAATATGTACTTTGCAGCTGCTGCTCTCTATCGGTTACATTGTAGGAATGAACAAGTGCGCATGAGCAGCAAATAACACGAGGGCGACCGTGAGAAGATCTTCAAGATCTAAGCTGATAAAATTTGCTGCACCAGATAATCTTGCGGTCAGCCTGTCCGAAAATAAGCGTTAGAACTGACAGGTGTGGCAATTGTTTTACTCCTACGGTGTATCGCGTGGTCTGTTCCAAGGGTCAGTGGAGGACAGATCAAAAAGTCTGCCACAGGAACGTCATTGACTAATAAGGTCAAGATATTTTGTAGTCGGTCGTGGGGCAAAACGACCCATGCGTCGAGGAGCAAAATGACCCCTGGTCCGTTTTACCCCAACCTTGGGCCGTTTTACCCCACATTCAAATTTAGTCACCACATGCATAAATTTACCTTTAGTGATCTGAATATATCTGTCTGGTTAATTTATTTATATATATATATATATATATGCGTATATGTTAGGTTTCAAATTTAGAAAAAAAAAACTCTTTGTTCTCGTTCGCCACACGTTCTGTTAGTTGTGGGCAATTTGCCCCGTAAGCGGGGGCCGTCATGCCCATACCCTTGTATAAAATGCCCCCCCTCAAGTTATTTTTTTAACTGAGGCTTTCTCCAGTAAATATCCGTTTGGGGCCATTTTGATTATGTGCATTTTCATGGGAGTTAAATAAAGATTCTTGAACACTATGAGTCGCATTGAATTTCTACTGCAGCTTTGATTAGGTGAGGCCTAAACGTTAAGGGGCCCGTTTTTCCCCACCTTCCCCTACTATGATCTACTTATAAACACTTAGCAGAATGGCACAGCTAATATTAACCTGATATAAAGTGTGTACACTGCACTCGTTGCCACCTAGAGTCCGCAAATATAAACCTGATTAAGTAATAGAATAAGAGTCAGGTTTGAATTCAGATGTTGTATTACTACTGGGGTTAGTTACAATAGGACAACAGTATTAATAGAGTAGTCTGTTCTGATGACCAGAGACCACTAGAACAAGAGAAATATACACTGTCCTGCCAAAAGAAAAAGTCAAACACTCTAATATTTAGTTGGACCGCCTTTAGCTTTGATTACAGCAGGAATTCGCCGTTGCATCGTTTCCATAAGCTCATGCGATGTCATAACATTTATTTCTGTCCCGAGTCACAAGAATTTTTCACCAAGATCTTGTATTGTTGATAGGAGAGTCAGAATGCTCTGTAAAGTCTTCTCCAGCACATCCCAAAGATTCTCAACAGGGTTAAGGTCTGGACTCTGTGGTGGCCAATCTATGCGTGCAAATGATGTTTCATGCTCCCTGAATCATTCTTTCACAATTCAAGCCTGATGAATTCAGGCATTGTCATCTTAACATAACATAACATAACATAACATGAATGGCGAGAACAGGCCGTTCAGCCCAACTAGGCTCGCCAGTTTCTTTGTACTATCATGAATATATAACTTCAGATACTCAATGACTCAATGGTATATAACTTTAAGTCAAGCCTGCTCTTGAAAACTCCCAAGGTCTCTGCCTCAACAATATGGTCAGGCAAGCTGTTCCACACCGA